AAAAAAAAAACTGAAAGACTAACAGAGACTTGTCACCGTGCTTGCGTATCATTGCTCTTTTGTTGGTTTTGATTGCTTCTATTGTCCTCATGTAAGTCACTTTGGATAAAAGCGTTTGCTAAATGACTAAATTTAAATGTAAATGCAGTGCATACATTAGGAAGTATAATCAATGTCCTAATTTCTATTTAGTCTTTATGAGTCCAGCACACAATGGCACACACATGACAAACCAAAACATTCACACAGGAGGATGTCAAAGCAGAGAGGCTTGTTTTCTTTCTTTTAAAGGCTCAGAGTTGTGTGAGGTCTAAGTTGTATGAAGTTGCAGTGGTAATCAGATTTTGGCTGGTTATAAGGGTGAAATATTTCCATTGATTCAGCGGTTTCTCTCAATGCTTGTGTTTCAGCAAGAGGACGGTTTTCTTTCTCACACGTACAGAATGTCAGCCATCACTTTGTCCCAGAACACACACAGATGCTGCACAATGTCAGAGGCCCAGGGATAGTGAACACACACAAACATTTCCACACAGACACTGCAAAAGGACCTGCAAGCTTTTGTGCATCAGGGACTGTGAGAAATGGGCTATACATACTACACGCATGCTCTAAATAAACACAAACACAGAGTCACGCAGATATCTATATAGACGCGCTCACCTTTGTTTTGGGGTATTCCCGGACTGCAGAGCGCAGTAGTTCTGACACATCATCCTGCATTTCCACCAGTGCTTTGTGACTTCCTGACAGCTTCTACAACAAGAAAAAAACAAAACCTGTTACATGCTGTGTGCAAAATTAATCTCATTTACAACCTTGTACTTATAAAGCATATAGAAAAAATGTATATTGTATTTTTCAACATTTACAGGTTTTTTAGGCAGACAGGAATTTATAGGAATCTGGTTAGTATAATATACTAAAACTAGCACAAAAACCTATAGATCTAAACACATTTTTGTAAAACTTAAAGTGACCCAAATGAAAATGAAAAATAAAATGAAACTAAAAGACAGCAGTTGAAAAGCTAATTATAAAAAAAAGTAAAGAAAGAAGTCACCAAGGCTACATTTATTAGATCAAAAATACAGTAAAAATAATAGTGACAATTACTATAATAATAATATAGTATAATAATAAGATATTTAAATATGTTTTCTAATATATTTTAAAATGTAATTTATTCCTGTGATGATAAAGCTGATTTTTTTAGCATCATTACTCCAGTCGTCAGTGTCACATGATCCGTCAGAATTCATACTAATTTGCTGATTTAGTGCTCAAGGAACATTTCTTATTATCAATGTTGAAAGTAGTTGTGCTGCTTATTATTTTTGTAATAGACATCGTGATACATTTTTTTCAAGATTCTTTAATGAATAGTAATTTTAAAAGAGCCCTATTTTTTAAATAGAAATCTTTTACAATATTATAAATGTCTTTACTGTCACTTTTGATAATTTTAATGCGTCTTAGATAAATAAAGTATGAATTTATTAGTATAATTCACAAAACTATATCATTATTAATAAGGCGTGTGATTATTTGATTCTGGTTATTTTCTGGAAGACACACAAATGCAATATTAAGAGCTCGACGGGTAATACAAACTGGGTTGCGCAACTTCCACTTCCTGGCCAGTGCAGAAGTATTTCCTCAGTGTTCATTCACCACTGCACACACCCACGCTCACTCCACTGTTAGTACAGCAGCAGCAGAGAGAGCTGCTTGCATAATGCAACAGTGCATTTACAACCAGCAGCTAAAGTCAGTACAGGCTCTTGCATCCGGCCATTTAGGTGTGTCGCGGAGCATTTCAAGAGCACAGGTCTTGAAAACATGAATATTTTAGATGCCAAATGGCCACCGTGTTAGCTTTGTCTGCCAACAGTTCCACAATGATAGGCTGGAAAATTTGCTGACATTCAGTGAGAAAGAGGCAGTGAAAGTACAACATGTCCTTCTTTACAGAGCTCACAGAAGACTTCTGTTTACCGTGTTAATGGCAGGCAACAGTGCTGGAAACTAACTAAAGACAACAGGCAGCATCAGCAAGGTTCAGTGCTGCTAACAAGAATTGTGAAAAACACAAACGCAACTAACTTTGTTCCAAAATGATGCTGCCTTAGAAGATACATTCTTTTGGTCAAATTCTAAAGCAGCATTATATACACTACCATTCAAAAGTTTGAGGTTAAATACAAATTACTACTTTAATTGATCAAGGACACATTAAATTGATCAAATTTTCAGTCAAGACATAATGTTACAAAAGATTTCTATTTCAATATTTTACAATGTCGATAAAAACATATTTCCTGAGCATTAAATCGGCATATTAGATTGATTTCTGGAGGATCATTTGACACTGAAGACTGGAGTAATGATGATGAAAATTAAGTTTTGCCATCATAGAAATACATCACATTTTACAATATATTCAAACTTAAATGTTCTTTTAAAATGTAATATTTCGTTTCATTTGTTTTTATTTAATCAAAAAACAGCAAAACCAGCCTTGGTGAGCATAAGAGACTTCGTTCAAAAACATTCAAAAAAAATCTAACCAGTCCCACAATTTTGGCATCCTTCACAGATAAAACACCTCTAGTTGTTTTGAATGCAAGAACATGTCTTCTGAAGGTAACTGCTTATGTGCATTGTAGACAGCAAAGCAACTCTGATTTTTAAAGCATAAAGCATTAAACTTGTTGCAGAATCTTCAACATTTCTCTTTAAATGTTCTTAAAATATTCCTTGGTGACATTTAAGTCTGAAATCAATATCCATTTCAATACATTGCTGTCTCAGATGTGAATCAGGCTCAGTGCATCTGTATGCTGCATGAGAACTGGAGGAACTCCATTCAGAGACATCAGCTGACAAAGTAGAGCATTCAGTCTCCATATGGGCATTACCCTTCATTTAAATTAAATGACATCAAGACAATGGAGCGGTCACTGAGATAACCCATCAATCACGAACAGTTAAGAGCTGTGATTTGTCTGAATCATGCACATACATTATTCAAATAAAGATGTGGAGTCTGACTCCATTAACTAATGGGAAAGGCAGGAAGCCAAAGGAACACACACAGCAGCTCGCAATGAGAATGCTAATGTACAGTGGCAAACTAAACAGGGGGCGGCACTTCCCCTGTAATGGAGTGTGAGGAGGGAGGAGACTGGCTGTCTTCCAAACTCCAGTGAGATACCTTGCTGTCTATTAACTATCTACAGAAGGAACAACATTAATGGTTGGTCCCTCATACCTAAGTGCACAAGACTAAACTAACTCTCCCAGAGTCTGATGTTAGAATCAGTAACTTTAACTATTAAAAATATTTTTGTTAACTGAAAGCTGAAATCAAATCAAATAAATATTAGAACTTTACTAATGATATATAGTATAAATAAATTATTTTTTTTATTTTAAAAATGACAAAAGAATGCCAAAATTGCCAAAAACAAAATATTAATAAATACTATAATATATATTTATTAATAGGATATAGAATATAAATAATACTAAAATAACACCTGTTAGCATGTTGCTAACTTTTTTAAATTACCTAATAGCAATGAATTCTGGGATTACCATTTCCATGATGCACACATGTAATGCTGTATTATATTTTTGCCAAATTAGGTATGTATAATGGTGCATAATTCTGCCATTTGCAAAAGCCTTTCTGTTGGGAATGTCCCTATGATGCCAGACTTCTCCAGTTAGGAAGCTCACTATTGTTTGGAACAGAGACGATATACTTTTTCTGAGGACATCTCTAAGAGATTTGAAAGCGAGGGATTTAGTTAACAGATCAAATCTGAATCAATGCATTCAAGAGAGGTAGAAGCTATGATTACCTGTTGGAAGGGGTTGACCTGACCCACATTACATGTGAGGTAATACTGCAGGATATCTGTAAAGAGAGAGAGGCAGTAGGTCAAGAGCAATGACATGAAAGAAATCAGCATTTATTATCTAGATGAAGACCCACTCAGGTATGACGGCTTTTCCATTTCCTTGTATCTATAAGCATATAATACAATTTATGCACTGTAAGTCATTATAAATCTGCAACATTCTACAAATGGTTTCTCTTTTCTTTACGTTTCACATCTGCCTCAAAGCAGATGAACCCACACACCGACACACTGTCATTTACTGAGCTTAGAGAACCCACAGCAGCCATGTCAGGTATCTGGACAGCTATATTTCCAACCACCAGCATCTCTAGATTCCATCCACAAATGCCTCGCTCGCACAAGCTAAGCAGAGCATCTAATTTCTCTCCTGCAGAGGAGAATTTCCCAGTCAATAACTAATCCCAGACCAAATCTGCAGATCTTTTTGCATCAATATTGAAGGAAAATCTGTAGGATGAATTCAAACATGCTAAAATGTGTTTAGTTAAAAGGATAATTAAGATATTTTTGATGAAATCCAAGGGCTTTCTGACCCTGCATAGACAGGCCCAAAACATCGTTAAAATAGTCCATGAGACATCAGTGGTTCAACCTTAATGTTATGAAGCTACGAGAATACTTTGTGCGCAAAAGAAATGCGTCGTGGTACTCTCGTGAACACACATTGAAGACAAAAAGTATTCTCATAGCTTCATAACATTAAGGTTGAACCACTGATGTCTCATGGACTATTTTAACGATGTCTTTACTACCTTTCTGTGCCTTAAACGTGTCGGTTGCTTTGCTGTCTATGGAGGGTCTGAGAGCTCTCGGATTTCATCAAAAATATCTTAATTTGTGTTCCGAAAATTAATGAAGCTCTTACAGATTTGGAAAAACATGAGGGTGAGTAATTAATGACAGCATTTTCATTTTTGGGTGAGCTATGTCTTTAAGGGCAGTCTTATTGGTAGCTGAGCGTATCATAAATTAGCCAAAATATTGAATAAATGAATAAGACTCTAGGAAGTCTTAGGGGTGTTCAGGAATAACTCTTGCCTGGTGCAGGAAGTTGCAAGTTTCATTTGCTTGTGCATCAGTAATAGGTGTCATATTTGGTTGAATTTCATTGTGATTTCTACTATTTTTAGTAAACGTGAACAGAAAACACAATCACACATTTGAAGAGTGCTGCCAGGTCATTGAGGATTTTTACAAGGACTGAAAAGAAAGATGAGAGCTGAAGGTAAATAGTAGGTTAGTATCTCAAGCTTGACGTTAGCAACACCAAGGTCATGGGTTTGATTCCCATTAAATACAAGTTTAAAATGTACACCACACACACAAAAGTTTGGGGTCCCACACTTTTTCAATTGTGAAGTTGATTAAAATTACCATGCAATGAATCTGATCTGTGAATGCAAAGATGAATGGAAATTAAGCTCTAGACTGCAGTGTTAAAAAAATACTTTCTATTTCTGCACAGGAAATGGTACTAATTCACACAGTCCTCTCACAAACCTCCACACGCCAACGCAGATGGAGTCTTGGGCCATTTTCATGCGCAGCTTGCAGCGGGTTGCGTGGACGCGAATCAAAAACGGACACATGCGTCAGAGCGGTGGGTTTGTTGAGGAGGAGTGTGATGCTTTCATCACTATCATTACACACGTGGACACACACATGGCAGCGGTCACAGGGAAAAGTAAAACCTGCTTATGAACAAGCCAATTCCCCCATCCCATACGACCGGCCTCCTTGATTGCACTATAAATGGCATAATTATGGAAATGAGGAGGGGAATAAACTGGCCTCTCAATTATATCCACGGATGGCTGTATACAAAAGGCTAAACTGAGCGTATAGTGTAGTAGTGGAGTTAAGTGCTGGATTTATAGGTTGTAACAGTATTCAGTGAGAGGGCCAGAGCCCCACAGGCTCATATGTCATGTGTAAATAACCTCCAGTAATTGGATGTAATATTGGGTGACTGGTGATGCCCATATGAAACCGAACAAAGACAATGGAGTGGCTTCCAAAAACGATCTGAGAGGAGGCAGAGCTTTAAATCCCACTCACGACGCGATGACTGCAGGCAGTAAAAGATCCTGATTCATGCGAGGCAGGGAACACACCAGCGCACTGACAGATCTTATTTATGAAGTGTTTCACAGATATTCTTCAATGATGATTGTAAAATTTAACATCCTTCTGCGACGTTATCAGATGAGTAAACTGCATACATAATGGAGGACAATTATAGCATGCATTACTGTTCATTTTTTAAGAGGAAAGCATTTAAATTAGATACATGTTTGGACTATTGTCATCTTCTGGGTTTGAAATTAATATCGAGTGAACATCAAGTAACTTGATATGAATAAACTTTGTGATGTCATTTAAATAAAACAACAACATATAAACTAGTAGGTTAGCCCATCATAACAGAGCTTATTTACATGTAGAAGTAGCCAAAGCATTCGGCCTAATTCTAAAAGTTAGATATTTTTGGTATAAAAATGAGTAAAATAAATAAAAATAAAAACAATTTTTTGTAAAGCCAGGCTAACATAAAACAAAAGTGTACTGTTAGAAATGAAATGAAGAAAATAAAAAGTTCCCTAGATTTATGATTTTAATAATTCCAAAAATGCATCACAGTCTGTATAATGGGTCCATATGGCCTCTTTAAACAACTAGATTCAGTATTAAACAGCTCAGCACAGAAGACATGCTGGGATACATACCGAGGCTTTCCTCACAGAAGAGACACGATGGATGGCACAGACATGCAAGTACAGAAATGTCTTGGTTCTATTCTTGGGAAACGCAGTAGGATGAGTCAGTCTAGGACAGTGATAGCCAGAAGGAACACACTCCGAGCTTTCTTTGTGGTCTCCATCTACAGCCATTAATGCTTCCGGCTGAATTACTGCTCCAAATATAGTTCTGGACTAAAGAGATGTAATTAGTGGAAATGTGTAAGCTAAAATCTGATGTGCATATTTTGATGATGTTCCAAAGACTTATTTTATTATAGAATGGCAAGACAAATTCTGAAAACCCACTAACAAAATATTTTTTTCCTCATGACGCAATCATACTTCACCAATATTTTATCTAAACTATTCATTTTGCTTCTCTTTTCCACATAGTAATACACAGTGACTGACCATGACTGACAAACTCCAAAAAAAGACAAACAAGAATCAAACTGTGTGTGTGCTATATTCCAATTCTTCAGAAGTCATGTTAGTTTTGTGTGAGGAACAGACTAAATTTTGTCATGATTTTTTTTCAGTGAAAATCCTCCCCTGCAGTGAGCTGTTAAATCAAATAATGAATCATTGAGTGGAGTAGATTTTTTTTTTTTTGAGCCAATTTTTTATGAGCCACTTCATCTGGTGATGTGGTAACAATTCAACTTTGCTTTTCTCTTTAACTTCCGAACAGTGTTATTTTAGTATTATTTATATACTATTTGAGTACATTTTATTATATTTTCAGTAATTTTATGTGCTATTGTGCTCAATTTTATTTTATTTCTAATTTCTGTTTCATTTTTTAAATTTTAATCTAATATTTATACTTTATTTTAGATATATTTCAATTAATAAAAAAACATTTGAATGGTTTTAGTTAATAACCATTTAGATAACACCACTGCTTCAGAAGACTTAATGCACAAGTCACATGGAGCACTTGCTCATGGTCACTACAAAACTGTGTTAGACTGAAAAAGCCAGGGTGAAATCTCCTAATTCTCCTTCTGAGTTACAAGTCTGGAAAAACAGCACGAAGAATACATATTGGCAGAATGTTCAATTTTGGCTGAACTATCCCTTTAAGGACTTATTTAGAGCAAATGAGAGGAAGACTGCAGATAGGAAGAACAAAGATAAGAATAGAGCCCAGAAGACACACAATTACATGGGTGTGTGAAGCTGATAGTCACATGGTTTATCATCCACATCCTTCAGCGGTTTTCTCTTCCTTTCCTCTTATCTCTCTCCTCTGCTCTCCAGAAGTTCTTGCTGTAGCTCTTCTCTTCTCAGCCGACCAACAAAGTGATTAATCATAACAGACGCCAACGTTGACATATCAAACCTGCTTCTACTACATGAAAGCATATAGAGATCCACATGCATACAAACACACTTCTGCTTCATGCATAGCACCAACTCTAGCGGTCCTTCATTGAGTCCCAATATAACCTCTGCATCTCCATGTCTAACCACAGGCCCAACATAATGAAACCTTTTAAACACATTTAACAGGATTCACACATGTTCAGGCCAGTGCAAATGCTTCCTTTCCAAGGATTAAGTCATAGGAAGATCAATTTCCAATAGGCCGTACACTGAGTCCACCTAGATTAGGCTTAACCAGAATATGTGAGCATAACTTTCCATCATCAACATCTTGCTTCGGCCACCCAAAGAGGAACGCTCGGACACGCAAAACAAACACAGACTGAGAGAAAAACACCCACACGGTTGTCACTTCCCCTGATTTACTAAGAGCATCCTGGATAATAAGGTCACTTTGAAGAGGAACCGCTGTGTTGAGTAATGCTGATAAAGTGAGGAAGAGAAAGTCAGAAGGAACGCTTCCTCTCTGAGCCAACAGGAAATGAACGCCTGCGTGACCGCTCATCCCTCAGAGAACACGCTCCTCCGTCAGGAGATGTAGGGCAGACTAAATTCAGACAGACTCGCAAGTGATTCAAAATAACACCTGCTGGATTAAGCATCTTACTCACAAATCAGCAGGAGGTGGACGAAAGAAAAAAAAGATATGTAATATCTGTGAGATTTGAAAGAAAACTCTTGAAACAAACCTTTCTTGGTAAGCATATACTGCTCTGACACCTTGGTCATGTACATGTTAGGCGCCGCACAGAAGTCACTGAAGCCCTAAAATGAGAAAAGCAAACCATGAATATTAAAGGAGTATATTCTACACTTTATATAGCATGCCATTTTTCAAAAATGTGTTCTACAGACAGCTTATCCATTAAATTGATCAAAAGTGACAGTAAAGATATTTAAAATGTTACAAAAGATTTCCATTACAAACAAATGCTGGTACTGTATGTTGAACTTCTTATTCATTTCAGCTTTCCCTTCTATTTAACTTTCTATAAGAATTCTGGAAAAAAAAAAAAAAAAGATTTCATGGCTTTCACCAAAATATTAAGCAACACAAGAGTTTTCAACATGGATAATATAAAAATCAGCACTTTAGAATGATTTCTGAAGGATCATGAGACACTGAAGACTAGAGTAATGATTCTGAAAATTCAAAATTAACCCACAGAATAAATTATATTTAAAAAATTTTTTTTAAATATATCACAATATTAATTACTTTACTCTATTTTTGATCAAATAAATGCAGTCTTGGTGACTGGTAAGAGGCTTCTTTCAAAAACATCTTACCAACTCCAAACTCTTGTAGGGTAGTGTTTATATTTTAAGCTGTGATTTTTAGCGACAGTGTTTAATTAGCATCCTGCCAGCTTGGTGTGCTTTAACTGGTTGACAAGTGTTGTTTTTAAGACGGCATGTCAAGCTAAAAATAGTCTAACTTTAAAAAAATGCACCTTGAAATCCCTCAATTCTGTTTAACTGCATTTTGCAGTAGCAAGAAAATATCTAATCTAAATTTCCCTTAAGAAAGGCATGCAATCAAGCCCTGGTGACTCTGAAACTAACCTAGTCATACAGGGACTTTCATGCAACTGATTTGCCAACTAGTAGTTGGCAACCCACTGACAAGTCCATTTTGACTAGCTTTGACTTTGATCTGTAGGTTTGTACATTGTTAGTATGAAAATGACCTTGATTATATTTGACTAACTGCTGTTAGTGTGTAGATTCTGAGTGTTAGATTATGTTTACAAAAAATTGCATGACTTCTCCCCTTTAAAGCAGTTGTATAATATAACTATGCTAAAGAGGCTGCTAATCACAGAGATGAACTATTACTGGCTGCTAATCAGAGATTAACTATTACTGGCTGCTTTATGTAATTCCACAGTTATAATTTGGGCATATGCAGTAAGATCTCAAGACGAAGAAGCATCACTACAATACTGTCCTGCCTCTGTGTGGAGAAGTGTTGCCATGGAGACACTCACCGAGGAGACAGTCAGTTCCAGACCCAGTGAGCCCCAGCTGATTACCAGCGCCAACACACCCAGAAAACACACCCTGAGAGAACACAGATAATCAGCATTTCTGCCATCATTATATACAGTGTACACATATTATCATCTTCTAAAAGGTTGGAATCCCCTCAACTGGGCTTTTCTGCTTAGAAAAACCTTTCATCCCACTACAATTTTCAGAACTTTCATCTATAATATGAATTTAATGGTGGTAAAATTATAGAAGCAACAGTGGGATTCAAAACCATTAAGTAATAAGCACACATGGATTGCTATCATCCATACAGCACGTTGTTATATTTCGAGCCTCACATTTGTGTAAAACAAACTTCTACAAAAATATCTGCTCACCTTCATATCTAATGCCCACGTTTGAGCATAACATATTTAACATATTGCAGATTAGCAGACTGTAAACATATATGAAATAAAACATGTATATATGAAATAAAATACAATAAATATTTATTTATATTATTTATTTTTAATTAGCATATATATGCAAATTAAAAATTAAAAAAATATTTTATTTTTTTACAGTCTGCTAATCTGCAATGTTAAATTTAAAGGGGTCATATGATGCGATTTCAAGTTTTCCTGGGAATAGAGGACCTACAATAATGTACAATATGTGAAAAATAATGTGTTTTTTGAACATTAAAGCATGTCAACATATTCTGTCACACCAAATACACAAAATAATGATCTTTAAAAAAGCATCATATGACCCCTTTAATTAAAAGAGTTATTTCCTTATGTTTTAAATATAATTTCTTTATCTCTCTCTCTCTCTCTCTGTGTGAATATATAAAATCAAATACAATATTTATTTATTTATTATTTTAATTAACATATATAATAGGATAGTGATAGGCATGCCACACAAGACCTAGAATCTCTCTCACCTTCAGTACCACGACTGAGGTGCCCTTGAGCAAGGCACCGAACCCCCAACTGCTCCCCGGGCGCCGCAGCAAAAAAATGGCTGCC